GGGTAGCCTTGGCAAGTGATACGTTTGGGTGGGAGCTTGAAAGTGCGCTGAATTGGCCGCACGAACTGCACATGACGAATCTGAAACCTGCACAGCAACTTCGTAGTGCCAGGTTGCTGGCCATCTTAACTCAGGCGTTTGCGGAATATCCACGAGCTCATATGATCCTACAGGCCTATTCAGAAGGAATTGGTATGGATGGTTCTTTTCAGGCAGTGCGAGGAACGTCTGGTTTTGAGGCGTTGCGTTTGCTTGCAAAGGAGTTCAGTTTGAGATCAAGAGCGGAAGCTGCATTTTTCAGGTCTGAGTTCATGTCCAAGACGTTTAAGGCACAGAGTGGCCCTACACAGATCAGTGATCTAGTCCGACAGATGGACGTTGGTTTGTCCAAGTATCGGAAGTTGATCGATACCTTGCCTCAGCATTGCGATAAGACTGGCTTGGATTTGCAACAGGTCGACTTGACGTTGATGTTGCTGAGATCCTTGCCCAGTGACGTGAAGAACTACGTCGTTTTGCATGCGTCAGGTGAGGGCTATACTGACTACAGATCAGCAGCCCTGAAGTTCGAACAACAGCAGAGGTTGTTCCAAGAACTGGGTGGAGGATCAGGCCGCAATATGCACGCCTTGGAAGCCGAAGGTGACTGGAGCACCTACTATGGCTACGAAGATGAGCAGGACTACTACGCCGAAGGTGCCGAAGAGGAGTGGGAATGGGATCCAGAGAGTGAGCTGTGGCTCAACACTGCCGCAATCAACAAAAATTCAGGAGTGAAATGTCGAAAGTGTGGCAAGACTGGACACATGCAGAAGGATTGCAGCACGAATATGGGTCGTGTGAAGTGCTTCAAGTGCGGACAGAGCGGGCATATTGGCGCGAATTGCCAAGCCAGCAGTCCGAAGTCTGCAAGTTCTTCTCCGTCTTCGAGCACTGGGAAAGGTTCAGGTGCAGCCAAGGCCAAGCCTGCAGCGAAAGCTGGACGAGGAAAAGGTGGTCGCAAGGGAAAGATGCATGAAGTTTCAGCCGAAGGACCTCAAGAAGAGGAGCAAGAATCTGGAGAAGCGATTATGATGCCGCTCATTTCATCACAGGTTTCAAGTTCAGAGGGAACTTGGTGGTTGTTAGATTCTGGAGCTGCCACGTCGGTGCTGTCGCAGAACTATGAGGGCATGTATCGTTGCCAGGCTCAGGAGGATTCGGCAGGAGCATTGGAAACCTACTATGCAGCGAATGGGACTCCAGTTCACATGAGGGCCAATGTTTTGGTAAGTTTGGCATTTCAGGTTGTGACTGGGGCATCTGGAAAGAAGAAAACTCAATCATTCAAATTGGCCTGTTGTATTGGGGATGTGTCACACAACATTATTTCGACAACTCAGTTGGTCAAGAAGGGTTGGAGTGTGATTCAGTCACCTGGAGAGACGTACCTCTACCACGAGGACAGTGGAACGCTCATTAGTGACGTGCTGTTGTGGGGAGGGACTCCGTGGCTACGAGCATGCAGGGCAGCACAACCGAGCTTGAAGGATGGCAGTCAGCCGATGGAGTTGGTTGAGTCATCAGTGGTCGAGCCAGAGGGTTTGAAAGTTAGCATGGTTGGAGCTGTTGAGCTGTCAAGTCAGGAGAAGTTGCGTCAACATGTTCTTCGAGGCCATTACCCGTTTGATCCACTCTGTTTGGAATGCCAACAGGGAAGAGGAGTTTCTCGAGCACCAAGGCGAAGTTTGCGTGAGAGAGTCCTTGAAGTTCAGGTGGATTTCTTCTTTTTGGGTTTGGTTGAGGGCAAGTTCAAGATGATTTTGCTGCGTCAGGTGTTTTCAGGTTTGCTTGGTGTCACTGCGGTGAGCGAGAATGTTCAGGTGACAGGCCAGCATTTGCGTCAGATCTTAGCTGAGTTTGGATTGCTTGAGACTTTGGAAGGACCGCCAGTTGATTTCAGGACAGATGCTCAGGACGAAGTCGGAACTGTTCTGAGGAGATCTGGTTTGCCAAGGGAGTATACTGTGAACAAAGCTGGACCTCAGAACCATGATACGGTTGGATCAGTTGAGCGTGGTGTGAGAGAAGTCAAGGAAGCTCTTGATGTCTTGCGCTTGGAACTGGCCAAGGCCGGATTGGATTTGGTCGACAGCTTGGTTGCCTGGGAGGCCGCTTCCAGGTATGTGACTGCTATGCACAACCTCCACGGCAAGATCCAGAACACAGGAAAGACTGGAAAGGAATTGCTCAGGAACACATCTGAAGGAACTCGAATTTCCGCCATGTTTTGCTCTAGGGTTCTTGCAGAGACCCCAGAAAGTGTTGACAGTATTGGACGGTTTGTCACTGCTGCATATTTGTATCCTGTCAGGAACTCGTTTGCTCATTTTGTTTGTGCGAAAATTGCTGATGAACTGAAGTTTTTCCAAGCCAAGAGTTTGAAACTTGTTTTTCCGATTGAATATCCACAAGATCTCATTGAACGTTTTGTTTGTCACTCAGGTTCAGGTGATCGTCCATCGCTTGTTGATCAGGCACCCATTGAGATTTTGCCAGAGGAGTTTGCACGACTTCCAGATCAGGTGCAGCCTCCACGACACTGGGTTGATGCTCATGGACGAACTGAAGGATGCAGTTCATGTGCCACTCGACAAGGTCGACATTCCAAGAAGTGCTGTGAGCGCTATTGGAACTGGATCCGTAACCAGAAGAAGGGAGAAGTGCCAGCTTTGCCCGACAAGCCTGAGGAACAACTACCAATAGTTGAGCCCAATGACCCGGCTGTGGCCGTGCCTTCACGACCATTGCCGCGCATCCCAGGTTTGCCTGCTGGGATGACCCCGACGCGCCGTTGTCCAAGTTGTGAATCAGGTATGAATGCTCCAGGTACCCGGCACTCTGCCGATTGTCGCAAGCGACAAGCTGAGTTTGTGTCAGGAGAAACTGCCAAGCCATCGCTTGGTGATCTGGAGGATCTTCCGGTACAGGAAGGTGGGGTGAGAGATGGTTCTTATTCTCCATCTTTGGCTCCGGACCCAGTCGAGCCTGCGGACGTTGAGATGGCCACTGAGGACGTTGGCGACATGCCCATGGTTGACGTTTGCATGGCACAGCCATATCATGTGGGTATGTTGACATCACCAGAACTTGTTCAACGAGATCGGTTTTCAGTGGAGTCAATTCAGTACGATGGCTACTGCAATGAGTTTGTCGTCATGGATTTCTGTGGTCAGAAGATCAAGCTTTGGAAGCCCAGTGGAGCCGTGTCTGATGTCACGCTCAGGGACTTGCCAGCTGAAGGAACCTTTTTGGCCATGCAGAAGGAGATTCGTGGACTCACCGCTGTTGGTGCAGGTCAGGTTCTTGCCGAGAATGTGGCAAGAGAAAGTGGCCAGCGCATCATCGGCACCAGGTGGGTGACCAACGAGAAAGAGGAAGCTCAGGAAGGTGTGCGCGCCAGGATCGTTGCAAAGGACTTTGCAAGTGGTCAGTCTGCCAGAAGTATGGGCATCTCTAGCCCAACACCCAGCATTGAGGCACTCCGGATGGTTCTTGGAGTCGCCTGTGGGGCGTGGAGTGTTGGAAATCAAGCCATGTTTTTGGCAGGTTTGGACGTTTCTCAGGCGTTTATGAACTCACCATTGGAGCGACCAGAAATTCTCCGGATGCCACTATCCATGTCAACTATGAAGGGAGAACCAATTTTTCTATGGGCTGAGAAAGGCATCAACGGTTTGAGAATTGCCTCTCAGGCATGGATCGTTTTCTTTTCATCTATTGTCAAGAGCATTGGAGTAGTTTCAGGTACTGTGGAGCCTTGTTTGTATGTTGGTCGAATGGTTGGCAAAGATCAGGCACCCATCGTCATCATGGCGTACGTCGATGATTTGCTTGTTGCCACCACTTCGGAATCAGCTCTCAAGACACTTATGACTGCACTATCAGCTCATGTCAAGGTTCGAGAGACTGGCCGCGTTGGTTTGAAAGGGGGACACTTGCGTTTCCTTGGTCGAAGTATCTTTCGAAGGCCAGGCTCATCTGCTTTGTACATGCAGGTGGATCCAACGTACTTGGATGAAGCTTTTGCTGAGTTTGATTTGAAGAAGGGAAGCACAACATTTCCGGATTTGCGTCCCATTCTGGAACAGGAAGGAAGCCAACCATTGTCAGCAGAAGGACATGCACGTTTTCGCAGAGTTCTAGGTCGTTTGTCATGGTATTGCCAAACTCGTCAAGACTTGTTGATTTTGGTCAGCATGCTTGGAACTGGTCAGGCACAACCGTTTGAGACCCATGAAAAATGTTTGCGTGCTGTACTCAGGTATCTTATGCCTAGAGCATCCAACGATGCTAATAGCACATGCTTTTCCGCAAACGGCAAGGTTTTAGTTGGACGTTGTCGTTTGCGCCAGTAATGTCGTTTGTAGTATACTTTGTATCTAAGGTTTTGGCCACAAATTTCATGAATTACAAAGAAACCTTTGACAAAAAATTGGCAATTGCTTTGAACATTGCGATTGTTTTGACAATGTGCTGGAACATTGCAAGTGTTTTGAACAAGTGAAGCAACGCAAACGACATTGTCGTAACAATGTCGCTTGCGTCCAGGAACAAATTGCAAAACAATAGCGAGCAGAAAAAAAGTTCTGTATCAAGGCAATGTTTCTGGTAGATCTGCTTAGCAAGATCTTTTTTCACTGGGAGCCACTGGTCACAAAGAGAGTCCTGGACGAAAACGGCACCGTGCAACTTTGTCGTTTGCGTTGCTTGCTCGAACGCAAACGACAGTGTTGTGCGTTGCCGTTTTCGCCAAGCGACTTATTGCAGCAAGCAAAGCAAAGGGGTATGTAAGAGAAAGGATACTTAAGAAAAGTTGTGGCAATACTTTTGGCTCCTGCAATCTCATCACAAGCAAGGGTAGGAACACAAACGACAATGCTGCTATCTTTTGTAACCAGCGTTGCCAAGCACAAAGCCAAAACATTGCATCTATATCGAGCTTTATTATTTTGACACCAATGGTTGCAACTTGCTCCGGGACGAAAACGGCTCCGTTGCAAGAATGTCGTTTGCGCTGCTTGGCTTGTTTGAATGCAAGGCTTGAGCACATTGCCTCTTATCAGAAAGTCATCAAGCAGAATGTATTGCTGATCATTGCCATGCACTGGTTTTTGCCGCCGCGACTAAACGGCACTTTGGAGCAATGGCGTCGCGTCTTCCTGCTACAACGGAAACGACAATGTGGAGCAATGCCGTTCGCGCCTTCCTACTTCAACGGAAACGACAATGTTGAGCACTGCCGTGCGCGTCTTCCTGCTACAACGGAAACGACAATGTGGAGCAATGCCGTTCGCGTCTTCCTACTTCAACGGAAACGACAATGTTGAGCATTGCCGTGCGCGTCTTCCTGCTACAACGGAAACGACAATGTGGAGTAATGCCGTTTGTGTCTTCATACTACAACGGAAACGACAATGTTGAGCACTGCCGTTTGCGTCTTTCTGCTACAAAGGAAACGACAATACTGAGCAACGCCGTTTTTCCAAACAATGATAGGGAGGGATGTGGCGGGCTAGCATGTCACTTAAGCTCCACTGCTTGCCTTTGTCAAGCTTCCTTCCATGCTCTCGCGCTGCCCAGTGGAAAAAAAACAAATACCTATATACAATTATACGTATTATTAGTATTATATATATATATAGATATTTATATACACACATATTATAACTATAAGTATAAATGAATATATATATATATATGTATAAATGTATGATGTATGTATGTGTTGGGGGGTTACATCTTAACTGAATTATACAGTGTATGGTGGTTCCAACCCAACCCTTTATGGTTTTATCCAATCGACACCCCTAATTGCATCGCCCAAACACATGTGAGTTTCTGAAGTGTTGTCATGATTTCTAATTTTTCTGGGAAAACATACGGGATAACTATCAACATATCTAGCATTTTTTATACAAGTCATCAACCAACTGGATTTTGAATGCGCTCATTTCTTTATTGGTGCTCAATGGGGTCACTATTTTGTTGACCGACAATGGGAACAGGAAATTTATGGCAATCTCGCAGCTAAGAACAGGTTTGAGAACCTATCTAGCTGTGGAAATATAGGGGGAACTTAACCCTGGACAATCCTATTTGAATCCAATGCCAACCGATAGTTTGTTGAAACCCCTTTTGCAGTGGTTGAGTTCAACCTGGGTCAAGGTTCAACCTTCGCCGGCCTCCAGCTGAAGTGCAATCTAGGAATGGGAAACAAGAAACATACAAAAAGGTGATGGGTAATTGTTTTGTCCCATTTAAGACGCCATTGAATTTAGGATAGCTGACCAGATTGCACTTGTAAAATCAAAACAGTTAGTGGGACTTTCACCGGCCCGCTGCCAACCCATGGTACCAAAACTCAGGTGGGGTCAGCCGACTGCATTTTCACTTGTTCCTCGCAACCCCAATGCAAGTTGGAACAGGAAGGCATTTCTTTGCCAACTCAAAGGCACCAGGTATCGTCTACCTTTTGGTTTAAGGTTGACCGTTTCATGCGATACCATGAGCCTTAGCTACCCTTCGGTGCTCTTGCAAGAAAATTGCAAAAGCCAGCAAATATCTTTGAAAGATACGAAATGTAACTGTCTTTCCATGACACTTTGTGGCAATGGATTTCAGTTTTCCTAAAAAACTTTCCTCGCCCCATGTAGCAAAGACTTTTTGGTTGATCTTGTACACCTCAATTTCAGCACAAACATGTGTCATGTAATGGGTCTTATGGCGAATCTTGAACAACATGCGGTTGTTGGAAAAGTAGTGGGCAGCCAGATCCACATACGCCCGGAGGTAGAGCTTGACAGACTGCCCAGCTTCACAAGCATCGTGATCCTGGAGAATGAGGCCGGAGCGGTCTTGGATGTGAATGGATCGCTGCATCCAAAAACAACAGGTTGCCAGTAAAGCAAGGATAGGTTCCTTAGATGATGACAGTTATCAGGTCCAAAAACAAAAGGATATACAAGTGTCAAATATCATCCCATATAGTCATATAGTGTTTTGTTTTGGGTGTAAGTTCAAACATTGACATGGGGTGCAGCCACAATTCAGTGGGTCTTTGGTCAGAAACCTTTTGGGATGTAGCTGCCAACCACCAGATCAAAGTTTTGACTGTGGCACCCTTGAAGCGAGATCCCAGAACGGCGAAATCGTCACTCCCACCCACATTGGCTTTGGTGAGCTGCGGTTTGCATGGAAAGTAGAGCCTGGGAAAACGTTGGCCCCAAGTACTTACAAGATATTATGGTGCCCCCATTGTAATTCCTTAAGTTGTTTAAATTCCATCAAACCTATAAATGAAGTAAAAATGAATCCAGGCACCCGTTCTTGGCACAAGTTCTGCGAACTTCCCGGTGAACATTCCCCAAAGTTTCATCAAGGTCTGCACCAAGTGGAAATACATTGTGTTCTATCAGCACCAGTATCCCACTAGCCACGAGGTCCCTTCCAATACCGAGGTAAACATTGTGAAGCCAATCATAGGACAAGGTTTCAAAGTTGAAGCCTTCAACCACCGACCATGGAGAAGGGGTATCCATCTGCATGTGCATTTCGTGATCAATAGCTGTCAATGGCCACGCAGCTGTATGACTGAAATTCTTGTAGTACATAGATTCGGGACACTTGTCACCAGTTGCTGCCAAACAACGGTCGCAAATCCTAGCTGACAGCTAACCAAATTACAATGAAAAGATTGTGAAGACCCATTTGATCCAGGTAAAGACTTCAGAGGGTGCCCATGCTAAACGCATTCAACCAAAGATTTATTTCCTAGAGTTGTTGATCAACAGTACCCCTAAACAAATGCAATGCAATCTTGGGGGCAACCTCAAAACTCTTGCCACCAAGCCCAAAGATCAGATTGCACAAGTAGTTGCGAGTCAGGGCATGTACTTGAACTCGTGCTTTCAAATCCGCTTTGAATGCCACATAACATCCCCTCAGCATTGAAACCCATTTGTCATGGAATAGACAAGAATTGGGGAAACTTTACCATCAGAATAGGCTTAAGGGAATTAAGGGATGAAAAACCGTAGCTGGAATCTTTCCCAAAATAATTTTCTTTCTGTCTAGTGGCTTCCAGCCACCGGCCAAAATTTTTCCACTCAGACCATGGCGGTATGACTTTTCTGGGAACGCCTCATTGTAGAACCCACGCTGCGGTCCCACACCGGAGGTGCAGATCTTCAAGCTCCAAGCAGTGACATCGGCTACCACTTTGTTCACAGCAGCTCGGACCTCAAAACAAGTGCACTGTCAAGTTTGTGGCGAGTGGCAAGGGGTTAATTGTTTTGGGAAGTTACTTGAAGTAGCAAAATAATCAAAATCTTTCCAAACTATGTGGAAGTGACATCTTTCGATCGCATTTGTCTTTCAGGGATGATGGCCAGCGGTATTTTTACCAAAAGGATGTCTTTTGTGCATCCCTCAGAAGAAAACACGCTCGAGATTGAATACACGAAGAACTCATCATCAGAATACATCTGTGCCCCATCAGCGTGGATTGTAAACCCCACCAGTTTGTCATAGGACACATCGTTCCGATGCAATGCTGGGTGACATTTCCAAGGTTTACAGGTAGCCAAGTGTTTCCAAAATGTAATCCGAGAATTGCTGTCTAAATTCCCCAGCATAATGGAGTCAAAGATGAAGGGGCACCCTGCAGCCCACAAACAGTGCAAGATCTCGTGTGGGAGCAGCATCCTGACAGGTGTTCGAGTTGGCCGTTTTGCTCCAACCTCAGAGACGCAGGGTGGTCGAAGGAATCCCAGCTTGGATCAAGCTTACAAAAAGATTCAACACCACATAAACACATGATTGAGTCTGATCGCTTAGTCACTTCTAAGTCCATGTGCACTGTGTAAGGCTGAAGGTTGAAATTCCACAGTCGTTGTAACCATCGATGAAGGTCCCGTTCACTGTTGCCTGGACAATTCCCCGAAGCACCCAGAGAACTAAAGGCAACCAGGGCTTCATGAGGGATGGAGTGGTCATCCACAATGCATCGAGCTAGGTCTGCAGCCCCCTCTATGCTGATTTTGCCCCTCCCAATCATATTGGTCATAGCGTTCACCGTCTTTGATTCATCCATATCTTCCAACCTCCGGCGTTTCCTGCCAAGATCCCCATGTCTGAATAACTATGGAACAACCGTTGGAACCCAAGCTTTTTTTGTATGCATATATATATATAAATATACATAATGTATATGCATGTATTTAATCTATGTGTTTCATAGGAAAAATCTGTATATATACATATACCTGCTTAATACTTGTGCATACTCCCTTACACCCCTACAGACTTACATACTTCCAAACATACATACGCCCACACACATCAAGCATGCACACACACAGAGATGGATAGATACATAGATACATACATGCATACACACACATATACATATATCTACATATATGCATGTGCTTTGGCAATACACAAAAACAGAGGCATAGACATGCACGTGCAGATGCACTCATGTAACTTGCACATACATACATACATACATACATGCAGAAATATATCCATGCACATATACATACGCACATGCATGCATCCATACATACGTACATGCATACATGCATAAAGACAGACACAGGAGGCAGGCAGGCAGGCAAGCAGGCAAACATACATACCTACTTACATACATACTTACATGCATGCATACATACATACCTACCTACCTTCCTACCTACATACATACATACATGAATGAACACACACATATATATACATATGCCAGTGTATGCATACATGAATATGATCTTAAATTATGTAGATATGAACTTGTATGTATATATTTGGGCAAACAGCAAGATAAGTGTGTAAATATTTAATTTACGGGTATCTGGTGGGTAAATACCAAACATCTTGAATGATAGTACACAATCTGTATATTTCTCTTGTACAGATATTATACATTTATATGTAAGATACACCTACATGAGTCTTACATAGAGCATATGTGTATACATATGTGTATTCTGATATTCATAGTTGTTGGGAACATCCCATTCTCACCCTTGTTTGCGTTGCCGGGTCCTGGTTGTAAACGAAGATCCATTGCAAAGACCTGGCCCGGTTTGATTGAACCACTGGACTGATGTCTTGCTTGGTCGCCATTTCGATTTTTACAATTTCCTGAACAGAGGTGATATGTCATAACCCGAAACTAGACAACAGGAAATCGTAAATTTAAAATAGTTGTTCTGGCAAGCTTCAAAACCATGAGCAAACTCTGAAATCTTTTCTACTGCGATGCCCATGAGGGTTCGAACGCCAGCTTCTCTCAGACCATGGCCATTTTATAGGCCCCCAGCTCCCTGCAGAATGCCAACAAAAACCAATGTTCTTTTCTCTAATCAAATTGGATTGGAATTACTACAGTTTTTTTGGACTGGAATTACCGCTGTTATAGTGGTGAATCTGAAGTATTTGGTTTGGCCCACTGTCTATGGAAGCCCGAGGAAAACTATATTGAATGGCAACACCCATCAAAACTCGGTGGTTTCAGCTTCACTCAGTTCGTGTTCGCTGCATCTTGCTGCGAACCCCCAGGCTTGGAAGATTCAGCTGGAGCAGCACCAGTCGCCGAACCCTTAGCTTTGGGCTTCGCTTTCGCCTTGCCCTTTGCCTTCGCAGTTCGTAAGAAGGCTTGGGCAGCAGCCTAGCAGGGCTCACATGATAGGCAGGATTCAATATGATGGGATTCGATTACTCTTTGAATCAAACAATCATAGTTGGAGTTGAATCATTGAAGGGGTTTGCTCTGCGTCTGAGTTCGTAGGCATATGAAAACTTTTGCTATGGAAACAACCCGGCCTTAGCCTTTTCCCCAAAAGCATCCCCTTCACGAATCTTGATCATGATGGCTTTGAAAGCCCCTTCACTGGCATCTTGCTGGATCGCTTGGTCAATTTTCTTGTAGAAGTTCTCCAACTTGGTTGCATGTTCAAGAAGCTGCTTTGACAACTCTGAAGCATACTCAATTGACCCAAGGGCTATTGAAGATGTTCTAGCTTTGGCAGCATCTTGCAAAAGAGTCTCCTGTCGCTCCTTTGCCTGACCGGCCCAGCTTGAGGCCAGAATCTTTTCAGCCTTCTGCTTCGGTGCTTTCTTTGGCGCAGCAGCCACCTGACGAAAAAGAGATGACCAGGGACAAGTTGGTATGGGGAAATGGCGATACTGTTGAAAACAATTAAGGGACCTTTGAGCTTGGAAACATATGCTGGGAAAAGAATGGGTTTGCATGCCACGAGTTTCACAACTGGTTGCCTGCCCAAAAGAGCTCATGAGAGCTTTGCTGGCCGAGGCAGAAGCTCCTTCAACTTTGGGCAAGCTACCAGGCCGGAACAATCCTGAGTCAGGGTCTATCAGGCTGCTCCTCAGGTCTGCATTAACTTCCTTAGAAGCTTTCAAGCGCATCTTCTCAGCTGTTTCCGTTTTTTGCTTCACCTCTTGCCCAGCACGCATGAAGAACCAACATTCCTGGGCTAGAAAGGCATTTGATGGATTTGATTTTGTGGCATTTGTCAAAAATTGAGAGTAACAAATCGTTATTGTTGGAGGAGTCCATTGGGTGCTGAGCTGTTGAAAAGGAACCTATTTCAGAGCACAACTTGATTTGATAAGAGGATATATGATATGGCCAATATGTTTTATCCATTGTAATGATGGACATATGTACCGTTTATAGGTGTGTTTGTGTGTGTGTGTGTGTAATATGATCCGGAATACAGTATAGCTTTTCTTTTCCCACAGCAATATATAGGTATCCCCCAATTATGGGCTAATGTCAGATAAGCATCATCTTCATCATCTGGAAAGTCGTCATCTTTGTAGAACAGCCCAGCTGCTCGCCTGGAGGCAACCAGCTGGGCAAATTTCTCTGGGGTATATTTGGGTCGTAACTCTTTACCCTGCACAGCACGCCAGCCATTGACCGTCGAATTTTTCTGGGACTGGGTCCTCTCCACCTGAACCTTTGTAGCATCCCAGTCGCCACCATTGTCTAACCAAACGTTGAATAAATCAAGTCGGTTTGTCTGACAATAGTCGGACAAAGAAACAGGAAACTTGCCGCTGGAGCGAATCTGGCGGCAGAACGTGTCATACTCTTTCTTGTTTGTGGTGCCTGAGACGTGTTGATTGGACCAATCTAGATACAGTCTTACAGGGTGAAAACTAGTGGGTTGTAGGGGTGAAAAAAAGGTTAACTTTAAGACAATAAGTTCCGGAAAGATACTGTTGCGCAGTTTCAGTGTGGTGTCTGCCGTGGCTTGCGTCACTGGAACCAGCGCATGCACAGGGCCAGGTTCTGAGGCTGCAGGCTCAACACATGGGTCGGCTTCGAACTCCTCTTCCTCGTCTCCCTCCTCACAAAAATCCTCAGGCTTCATCTTCTCACACCCTTCTTCCTCCCCGGTCACACACCCATCCTCTGACGTCAGCTCTGCCTCAGTCATGACCTGGCTGCCCTCCCGATCACTCCCTTCACCTTCATCCTCTTCCTCCTCTTGCTCTTCTTGGTTCTCTTGCTCTTGCTCCTCTTCCTCATGGTCTTGGCCCTGATCTCCATCCTCATCCTCACAACTTTCTCCTACCTCCATCTCCTCGTCTGAAGCTGCCTCCGTTGCTTCTTCCTGTTCCTTGCGCTTGGCCATGTCTTCTAAAAGGTCTGTGTCTGAGTCGAAATCTGCTATGTCTCCTGCCTCAGAAGAGCGAAGGCAATCGGCCAACTCCTTCAGCTTCTGGTTTGCTTTCTCCTGCTTGGACATAGTTGTTGAACTTGGGGATGGAGCCGGAGCAGGGGGAGTTGGGGAGTCAAAGATGTGGCCAACTTTGGCCTTCTTTGCCGGTACGTAAGTGATGGGGGGCTCTTTCTTCTCCTTTTTTCTGGTCTCCTCATTCTTACCTTTGTCTTTGCTCTCTGCCCTCCTCTGCTCTTTCTCCTGATCATTCTTCCCTTTCTTCGGCAAATCTTTACAGCTGCTTGCCTTCTCAACCTTCCCCGAAACCTTAAGCTTCTTTTTCTGTTCCTTCTTGGCTCCTGCATCGACTGCTGTAAGTGCCTTCTTACCCTCTACTTTCGGTTCTACCTGCTTTTCTGTCTTCTTGGTGCCTGCCTTCTCTGCCTTCTCTGCTCTCTTCTTGGTGTCTTCCTTCTTCTCTGTCTCTGTATCTCTGTTTGCCTTCTTGGTACCTTCCTTCAGTTCTGCCTTCTTGGGATTCTCCTTCGGCTCTGCCTTCTTGGGATCCTCCTTCGGTTCTGCCTCCTTGGGATTCTCCTTGGGCTCTGCCTTCTTGGGATCCTCCTTCGGTTCTGCCTTCTTTCTACCTCCCTGCTCTCTCTTCTTGGTACCTTCCTTCTGTTCTGTCTCCTTCTTCTCCTTCTGTTCTGCCTTCTTGGCCAATGGCTTCGGTTCTGCCTTCTTGGTTTCTACTTTTTGCTTCTTAACACTGGCCTGCTTGGCACCAATCTTCTCAGTGCTGCTTGCCTTTCGGTCTCCTTCCTTCGTAGTCGCCTTGGGCTCCTGGGACTTGGCTGCTTTCTTCGTTCTTTCCTCCGTGTGCCTGGCACTGCCCCTCAGTGCCGATGGCCTGGAGGAAGAAGAAGGGGTTTTAGACCTCAAACGCTTTGAGGGTTCACCCATTGGAACGCTTTCCGCTCAGCCTGGCTTGAGCAACCAAAAAGACTTCGATCGAGCAGAAATATCTAGCTTGAAACAGGATTCACATCATATGTGTTTTTGGTAGATTTTTAAGGGGACCTGCATTTCGCACGATCTCGCTCCAAATCGCATGTTTCTCGCTGCAAATCGCACGGTTTAAATTTCATCAAAATTATGAAAAAAAACAGAAAATGAGCATCTCTCCCAGAAACCCTGAATTGATCATGCCCAGCCCAGAACAAACCATAGTTGCCATGAGAATTTCGAATTGCTCCCTCAGTTGTGCTGCAATCTTGCCAGGCGTGCCCAGAGGCCGATGGAAGCTGAAGTGAGGCATGGTCCTCCCAGAGAACAACGGCAGACCCATGGATGGAAATGGGATAAATTTATTGGGGATAGATTTGAGAACCATTCGTATAGGTGTTGGACATGAGGATGAATTCATTGGGATAGAATTCAATATCATCTGTAGGTGTCAAGATTGATTTGAGACCAATACCAAATGTAGGTGTTGGAGTTCAGCATGTCTAGCCACACTTTTCAACCCCGCTATTGATCACTTGCTTCAAAGAACCCCATGGCCCCACCCTTTCAGGTGGCCAACTGTGCAAAGCAAATTGGACTGACTAATTGAGCTTGGCATTCCAGCTCCTTCTCATGTAAAATTAAACATTGTTGGAACAAAAAGAGTTCCAGGTTGGACATCAGCCACCCTAGCGGTGAGCTTGGGAAAGATATTCAATCACCGGCTTGAGGTTGGCATGTTTGATCCACAAGGTATTGATCCGCTGTTTACGGTTGTAGTCATTGGTGGTCTTCCGAGCTGCACGGAGGAAGCGGATCGCTTTGGCAAAGTTTCGCTTCTTGTGGAGCGATCTGCACTTGGTCATGGCTTGCCCGAACCTTAGCAATGGAAGAGGCATTGTTGGTGGGAAACAAGATCTGAAGAACTATGTGGCATCCATTTTGGGACCGCTCGATTTGGCTATTTGTAAAGTCCAAAAATATGCTTTGGGACCACTATGTGGCATCCATTTTGGGACCACTCGTTTTGGCTACTTGTAAGATCCAAACATATAGCATCCATTTTGGTACCACTCGCTTTGATTATTTGTGAAGGCCAAACACGTAGTTACGATAATGATCTTTGCCTGGTATGCCCAGCTATACCTGAAGCTTTCAAATCATGTGGAATCATTCACAGACTTTCTCTTGACATGGCAATCTGAGAAACTCATCTGGGTAAGCTTGAGAAGCACGAAGGTGTTTCCCACCATGAACCCTGTTCTCCCCTTTCTGGTTCACATAGCGAACTGCCATTTCACGCTGTTCAAGTCGTTCCTCCACGGTATAGTTTTGAATGTCATCAAGACAAGCATGGCCTAGGCAGAGCAAAGAGAGACATCTTCAGGACAGGGAGGTGGGCCAGTGGCTGGTGATTGAGGATAAAAGTGGATATAGATATTTAGATTACAGATATATATATATATATAGAGATACAGAAAGAGTTATATATATATATATATATGTATTGTATTCAAATATTATACATACATATGTGGCCACTACAAAATATCACCGAGGACTGCACGACAAGCACAGGGCATATACAGCTGTACATGGGCACATACCAAAATATTATAAGGGGCAAATCCTCACCAGGATGGACAGTTGCCATAGTTAAATCCATGATAAAATCCCAATCACTCACGAATGAAGAAATAAAAACACGAATGAAGAAAGCAGCTCAATGAAAGTTGAGTGTCTACTGTATAAGAGAGTTGCCTTTTTTGTAGGGGCTCCATAATTGCTCATGTTGACCCGGAGCCGGTGCATTCCAAGCAAGCGAATCAGGAATTGGAAGCATGGGTGTAGGTACATCAAACTGCTGGCTGGCTGCTCTAGGCACCAGAACATGGCTTTGGCACTGGCTAGTAAGCACAGAACCAGAGCTCTAGCCGCAAGGATATTACCATCCTCCACCGCTTTGCTGTCCGAGCGCCCAAGTGGCCGGGAAGCACTGCGAAGAGTACTTCCACGAGAACTCAGTTGGAGAAACGGCTTAGTGAGGGGCCTATCAGCTTTTGCACTGCAATGGGGTTGTTATTTGATCTTTTGATCCATTACTTCTGAGAATCTACAGGTGGGCTTGTCAGATTTACAACCCAATGGGGAGCTATTCGATCGTGGACCTGGGGAAACCATGATTGCTTGAAGTCTAGTGCCTGCTGTACAATCCACTTGAGAACTTTCCTGGGTAGGGGGTAGAATGGTAGAACTATTGTTGATTGGTTGGAATCTAGTGATGTGGCCTCTCTAGAATCCAGTGGGTGAATGAATGTTTGACATTTTTTATGTGGATAAGCACGGATTGAAATTCCAAAACTTTGCATGAGGTCATCTCTTGAAGACCTAAATCTGCAATCAAGTATCAGAAACACCCATGAGGAACAGACTGGAGCTGTCATATGCCCAGACCCCGGCTTGGTGTTGCAGATGTGGTACAACGCATTGCAAAATCCATCATTGGTAAGCAAGTTGTTGTTCTGACCCAGCTCCAAGTCCAATGGAACTGCAACACGATTGGCCTACATACAGGGATTCATGTTTGCTTTCCCCGCTGTAGATTCCCATTGGTTAAAATCCAACAAGTGACCTGGAATGACTTTTTTTACACCACAAAAAACCATTCCAGGTCACTTGCTTGTAACAACAAGTGGCCCTTGTTAAGTTTCAGTTGTTACTGTGTCTTTTTTTCAAAGAATTGTGGGACTTGAAACTCACAAAACATTGTGCCTTCCAATGAAGCTTTTGAATTTCAAGTAAACAACCATGCTATACTTGGTTCAACTCCATCCCCCATAATTTTGAAGCTACATCCCAGGATCCCAAAAACCAGATCTTAGGTACTCACGCTTTGAGACATTGTGGGGGTCGTGGGGCTTAGCTTGGAAACCCTTATTATCCCTTATTGTATGAAGTCCCCAAGGTAGGCTGCAAATGTTGTTGAGATAGGTATTGTGGTTGGTTGGATTTTTTGGGAAACAACTTGGATACTGTGATGTTGAAATGGGCCTCCCACTCGGCTCTGGTGCAAGCCATCTTTCCCGCAAATGTCTCCACATGGTCTGACGGCTTGTCCCAATTCAAACCATCGACTTGGAAAAGCAAAGCGACCAAAGTTGCAAAAACCTAGGCTGGATGTGGCAAGAAACCCATCCATCTTTCCAACATCAAATTTTTGGACCCGGGTATGAAGGGATGTTGTTTTTCCCCTGGTGTTTCTACCTATATACATAGATACAATATACATATATATATATGTACATATATACACATATATATATAGAATACCCTCAGATATGTATATATATATATATCTTTGTTTATTTATGAATTTCTTAATTATATATATATACGTACATATTCTGCATATATATATATAGCTTGTATCCCAGCTTTATATGTATATACAATATCACGGTTACAATACCCTAAAAAATCATTGGAAAGATAATTCCTTTGCTCAGGATGTGCAGCAATCGGTGCTTTCAAGTGCTTGAGTCCGGCCAGGATCCAAGACTTTTGTTTCCCCTTCATGTCTCGAGGGAACTGGCAAAACAAGAGGGTCTCCACGAAACGGCATGGCCTTGTTGACCTTGCGAACCTTCTTGGACACAGCATCTGCATGGCTGCTCTTGCTTTTCCCCATGTTTCACAGGAAAATTTGAGGAGCCAGGTAGGCTGGGGCAATCCCGACTTGATCCAACCCAAAACAGCTATGAGACAAGGCAAGAAGTTATTGGGAACCCCCGGGCCAAACCAGGCTGCACAGGCTCCCCCATCACCCAGACAGTCCTCTCTGAGGCTGTACCTTCTGGCTACAGCTTGAAGTACCTGGCAAGGCTCGAGCATGAGCGCTTCACCCACGAGGGTTTGGTTGGTGGGCTGGTGGGAATTTGATTGGTGGGTTCATGGAAGGGACGAACACTTTGCATGAAACCATTGGTCATTTTTTCACAGCTTTTCACGCGATCAATCACAATATCCCCACATGTGGCCTGAGCCATGAATCACATCTAAGATCCAAGAACCTAGCCTTTGCAGTACCCCGCAGCTGCGCTTCAGATAGTTGATCATCGTCAATTTTTTAAACAGTAGATGAACATCAATGTTTTTTTTGTTAAGGTCGCATGCAGCTACAGGCTAACACTGCATCCCTGGGCAAATTTTGGAGTGTTTGGTCCGTCCTCCACTGATATGTTCCTAAGAAGGCCGGACTTCAAAAGCTAAAAGCAGGGCCTCATGGCTCTGGTGTCCAATTGAACCCTGCCCTGAACTTGGCATCGTTCCATGCTGCCAAGACTGACTCATATTTCGACCAGGTGACCTGGCCCTTCCGATTGTCAGCAGATAGGGGCATGTCAGCTGGAAGTCGCTTCACCACGAAGGCGCGATTCTTGAGAAGAACTTCAATTGCCTGGGCTGGAGTGAAAATATTCAACATGCCTTTGGAGTTGTTGTTTCTGGTTTCAAATCAACTGCATTACATGTTGATTCACAACGTGGTTTAACAGAAAAACAAATGTTTGAAAACAATTGTTTTAAAGACAGTTCAGGGTACACTTCCATTGGTGGAAGCCACTGTGTAGCCGTGGCGACCCTGGTATGATCCCTGCTCCCCTGGTCTGCACTCCAATGGAATGTTTAACTCCTGAAGGTCGTAACCCTTGAACACATTCATTGGAGATCCAAGATCCTTTTGAGGGATTGTGCTTCGGGGCTTGCCACCCAAAGCCTTCTTCTCCAGGGCCATCTTCTTAGCCTCAAAACGGGGTATGAAAACACAGAACCGGGAAAACAAAAACTGTTGCATGCTCCATCCATGTTTTCGAATGTTTTTCACCACTGTGCTCAAAATTCCCTTAAACACATGAGTGAAATCAGGGAACTGTTTGACCTCCAACAATAGTAGGCGATGTCTCCTTCAAGTGCTCTTCAATGCGAGTAGCCACGCATGGACGTTTTGGGGCAGGGGCACGTCCATCATCAGGAACATCAGAATCGGTATCTGTAACCACTGTAGCTGGCTTCACATTCATAATGGTCAGGGCACGCTTCAAGGGCCTTGCACAGTCCTGAGATGTGAAGGCATCTTCCCCAAACACCATGCAGTGCTCTTGGCTGATGTTACAACCGCAAAATGATTATATAGACAGCTTTGTCCATGTGAAGCTATATTAATTTAACCCTGCTTGGCTGACACAAAAAATGATCCAAATCATCCCAGCTACAGCAGCTGCATTGCGAGCAGGAATTGGGACCACTTTGCCAAAGTCCTGCGTGTGGCCAGGACTTGCGAGGGATGGTGGGAGTTCAGTGGGTCGGTGAAACTACACTGGATTCTTTTTTAAGTAAACCACCACCTTTTAGTGCTGGCTCTGCTTTAGTTATTTTAAAACATACTAAGTTACTATGGCTGGCTGATAACCCAGGTCCTGGGTCTGAGACTTGCGCTTTACAAGCCACCTCTTGTAGAACTCGTAGTTGGCCAAACTGCCTGATGACCGGTTCAAAGAAGAAGAAACAGTGGTAAGCCGGCATTGCTTTAGTAACTTTAGCTTGAGCTACAGACCATGACAGGTGGAAGGTGTTGTGGCTTGTAAACAAAATCATAAAGTGCATTGACCAATGGCAAGCCAAACTACCATACGCGTACTCACCATGGTTCTCCAAGGCAGAAAGGCAATACTCCTGGAAGGGGGCCCACTCACCTTCACCAAATTCGTCGCCCATTTCTCGCTCAAGATCAGCCTTGATGTGCTCCACAAGCATGCGAAACTTCTGATCTCGGTGCGCTCGATCCTGACGCTTCTCCTCACGCGCCCGCTCTTCGCGATCCTACAGCTGGTTTCGAATACAGGAATGGGAAACAAACCAGAATTCAAAACCAAACGTGCCCAATACAAACTCAAGAAAGGTATTGTGCGAAATGAAATCTTGAGGACAAAGTAAAAACATTGAAAACCGCCAAAACAAATATTGGGCATCCATTGCGTTCCCGGCCATGTATGCTCGACCAAGCCAGCCATCGCTGACTTGCGAATCCCCCACCACGCCACTCTCACTCTCTGCGCTCTCTTGGCTCGAAGATACCACCTCAGGGCTTGACCCATTGCCAGGCAACTCAAGCGTCTTGGCAGACAAGCTCCCATGCTCACTCTCCCCATCATCAGCTGGGACACCATCACCATGACCACTCTCTGGATCATGACCTTCACACTCTGACTCTTCACCTTCACCACGCTCTGACTCTTCACCTTCACCTCGCTCTGACTCTTCACCTTCACCTTGCTCTGAATCATCACCCTCATGTTCGTTACCAGCACCATCGTCATTGAGATCGCCTCCAGCAGGCTCATCATCATCGCTTCCAGTACCAGGCTTTGTGGGGCTGGCTTGCAACGCAGCCTTCAAGTCCTGCATGCGGTCACAGTACGACGATGGAGATGATCGCCACAAAGCACGCAATGCCCCAATCAGCTTCTTGCACTTGCAGGCTTCAATGCCTGCCAACTTCATTCGATCCTCGCCCTCCTTGGGGTTGGGTTGGAAGAGATTGCGATTCATCTTCCGGTCGAGCTGCAAAAAGACATCGGTCAACATGTACCCAGAAGGTACCTGCGCAAGCACTCGGGAAACAGCCCTGATTTTAAAACAATACACCAACGTGGTAAACAAAAACTAATGGGATGTGTTTCAGAAAAAACTTAGTTGAAAGAACGATCATCCCTGCAGACCTCGCATGCCTAAAACTCTGGAATGCCTTTTTGTTGGCTTAAGAAAACTGTTTGAAACTTATGTCCTTCTGCGGCGATGCCCGAACAATGGCAATGAGCCAGTGGTAGTTGGCGACTATCTCACGGGAAGTAGGCGTCCGAATCATGCGACTCTGGGACAAATCCAGCAAAGCACCACCCTTCCACCTGTCAGACTCGAGGTAAGTCCTTGTTGCAAAAGGAAGAGCATCATAGATGTCCGCGGCCAACTTGTCCTGAGCTGGAACAAAAAAGAAGCTAGAATATTTAAACATAAAAAATGGTATGGCTCGCTTAGGTGAAATACTTGGGGGATCTTGGGTGTGCAGATCAAGATTTCACTGAACATGTAGCTTTTCAAATTAAAAGACATTTAATCCCAACTGACTTGTGGTGATTGTTAACCCCAACAAAAAATATCTCCACTTGCAACCCCCGAGATGAATGCCGCTGCCTCTCTAATCCTTGATTGAAATTTGGACTTTTTTTTTTTCGAAGGTTTTAACCCCCTATGCCAACCTCGAAAGAATAATTACGCAAAACTATCTAAATCGTAGGCTTCGTTGGGTTATCGCCAGTTCAGATGTTTTGACATTGCTCCCTGTAAAAATTTAGGGACCCAGGAACCGTCCTAACAAATGACATGTATTTTGGGCTATGTCAAGGGTCAACTTCGTCAAAGGTCCATTTGATGCCACGACCTGGACCTGGGTGTGTGAATTTGATGGTCAATGCATGTATCTACACACAGGGTGGTGAAGTTTGAGAGGAATCTGAAAATCAGATGCGAACAAAGTGGACTCATATATATAAATAAAGAATATATATACTATATATATAATGTTTATATAATGTTTATATAGATAGATAGATAGATAGATAGATAGATAGATAGATAGATACATAGATAGATAGATAGACAGACAGACAGATAGATAGATAGATGTTTGGAAATAGTAAGTAGGCTATAAAGACGTGCCTGTATATCATGCCGGTATGTTTTGAGATAGGCATTTACATATCGATATATATATATATATACATATAAGCATCTACATTCACACACCCACACACACACATATATATACATATGTATTGATAAATATATGTATATATATATATATAAGATCAGTAGGTTGGCGACTGTGACAAACAGCCATCAATGTACCCTGGGGGTTGGACGCACAGATCTCCACGGCAGGGGATCTTGTGGCGAGCCCGCTACTGGCACCACCGCTTCGAGGTCAGCCATCCGGGGCAGCGGGTAGCACAAGTTCAACCAGCGCTTCAGCCAAAAAAAAGCCCTTTTGCAAAAGAGGTTGCTTCAAGTTTCAAGTTTGGAAACTTCTCTCTCTCTCTCTCTATGGATTCCAACCCATCGCTGATTTCTAAATTCACCCGACAAAAACTACAATGGTGATCAATGATCAATGATGTTTACTATTTTCCAAACCTGTTCCACACATCCCTCCTGGACCCAACCCATGGAGTGGGCACACGTCTTCGCATGATCTCTGCCACAAGCATTGCAACGGAGTGGCCGGCAACAGCGGTGACCAGTGGGGAGGCAGTGTTGAGGTGGATACTAGAATGTCCAATATTGAAAACAATGTTGATAGAAACCCACTTTAGTTTCTTTCAAGGGTTCCATTTACATAACATCATCTTGAAACATCCATGCGTAAACAACATGCAGTTTGTGTCGGGAAACGTAGTTGCTGCCCACAAAGATCTGACATGGTCCTTTGGCATCGCTCACTTGAACTCTCACATAATTTGCCTGGGTACAAGATCCCAAAAAACAATGCGAACAATTTACTGGAATTTTGAGAATGCCAGGCGAGAATAGAGATGCCATCACGGCACAAAACCAAAAAAAACAGGTGAAGAGTTTAGAACTCCCCACTGAGACAAATGGCTGGTGCGAATAGACATGTCATTGCGAAACTTGGTGCGTCAACAGAAGAAAAGAATGGGTCCTCAAAATAAAGATACTGGATTCACCGCATTCAATTCCCCTGACTGTAAATATCACTTCAACATCCCTGGTTTACTATATCCAGATTCACTTTGGGGGCCCATATTCATAATATGAGGTGGTGTCCTCAATGATAGGGGATTGGATTCACATACTGTGTGTTTTCGATATTATGACGCAGCAAGGATCCAGGAAGCTTGTGTTTCACCACAACATATCCACCTGTTGAAAAAATGAGCGCCACCTGTGTGCCATGGAAAGGCGCCATGGAACAAAAAATCTAGGTCCCATTGTGGCTTTGGGTCTGGAAACTAAATTTTCTTCTTTCACTGCTCTTTAAGAGCAAGTCGCCGCCAAAACTTAGACATGTAAATTGATGGGTCCCCAATCCACGTTAAAACATGTTAAACCACCGAAAACATGGGTGTGATTTTGAACATACAATTTTGTTTAAGGTACCAGAGTCTAGCTTGATCCATGACAAGGGCCTATAGTAAATATCCAAAGTGCTGTGCCTGCCACACAAAGTGCGTTTCAGTACAGTCTGCGCTGTTTGTTGGCACTCTCTGGGCCAAGCCAAAACACTAGCAGAACTAAACTACCCCATGTTCACATGATTGCCCAGCTGCTTGACTAGGGGCAGCCAAGCCCTCAGTCTAGCATAACATCTTAGAAAGCTATGCTTCCCAACCTGGCCAACAAACGGCAAGGTTTTTTACAAACGGGATGTGGCGCTGTCTTTTGCAGAAACGATGTGCAAAGCACAGGGTTGGATGCTCTAGGTGACTGACATGGATGTTGCATTGCGTTTTCCATCAGAAGAGCTTGCTTTGCCCGATGTGAAAGGTTTGGAAGTGTACACAGATGCTGGGTTTGCACCCATGAAAAGTACTGGACGTCGTTCTGTTTCAGGTACTTGCTTCATCTTTCAACAGTGTTTGATGAAGTGTTTCAGCAGACACCAGTCAGCTGTGACGCTCTCCTCCTGTGAGGCTGAGCTTGTTGCATTACAGTCAGGTGTTCAGGAAGGAATCGGCTTGCTCAGGACTTTGGGTTTTGTGCTTGGTCGTTTGTATCCATGGGTTGACATTATTCCTCAGGACGCTCAGGTGACTTGGTATGACGAAGCAGAGTCTGATGACGAAGACCCTATGAGAGTATCATACTTGTTTCCACTGGTCGTCAAGACCGACAGTTTGTCAGGGAAAATGCTTCTCGAAGCATCTGATTTGCAACGAAAGAGCCGACACATTGAGATTAAAGTTTATTGGCTCAGGGAGTTGATGGATCGCAAAGTTTTGCTTTTGTCGCATGTGCCAGGAACTTTGAACCCAGCGGATTGTTTTACCAAGTGTTTGCCAACTCAGAAGTTTTTATTTTACAGGAACATGCTTGGATTTGTGAAAGTTGATTTCAGTTTGATTTCGAACATCCTTGGGTTTTGCTTGGACGTTTGTGACAACAGTTATTCAAAACCAATTTCATGTTTGTCAAACAGGAACTGCGTTTTGTGCGGAGAACGTTTGATTTTGTTTGCTTTGGAAGAAGAACAGGGAATTTCAGGAGATCAGAGATCATTTCGTCATGTGAAAGCTGTGGTTGCTCAAGCAAGTTTGACCGACCCGCGAACTCCAAGTCCTGCTATCGCGCAGATGGCAGGTGAAGAAGAGGACAGCAAGTCTATGGTGTCTGGATTGACTCGTGTCGATTACACGACAGGGAATCCTCGCAAGGATCCAGATACTGGTGAGGTGATGAGAAGAGATGCAAGAGTTAGGGAAGTCACTGAAACTGCACCAGAAGGAGCAGATGCATCAGGTACTCAGGAGCCAGCTGTGACTGTTTCGGGAACACCGGACACCAAGGAAGCAGTTTCAGGTGGACAAGCTACAACTTCAGGAGAGAAGCCTGCAGGTGGAACTTCTTCGGGATCTGGGAGGAGACCCCAGGTGAAGAAGATGCCGAAGCGCCCAGCTGCGAAGTTGATGCCTCGGAAGAGAATTGTCAAAGTGAAACAAGAGCCTGGGACAACAGCCAAGGTGCCCGGGAAGAACCGCTTCAAGAACCAGGAGACAAGGCGACGCCAGAAGGCGAAGTGGGAAGAGATCCAGAAAGCTGCCAGGGAAGAGCGTGCTCAGCCCGCTCCAGTTTTCGAGATCCCAGCTCATGGAGGAGAAGCGCCAATTCGATCCTTTTTCGATCCTATTTCAGGCAGAAGAGAGGTAATGGAAGTCAGGCCGATTGAGAAGGACCAGAAGTTTCGAGCTGGACAGTCAGGTTTTTCCAGGTACCCTACTGAGACTCGCACTTGCTACCAGTGTGGTGAGAAGGGACATTTGAGTGCCAATTGTCCAAGGAGAACTCGTCGAGTCAGCTTGACACAAGGGACAATCGAATTTGTGGGTCCTGAAGAAACGCGCCCCAGGGTGCGACTCCAGGGGAATATGGGCTCGGTGCCCTCAGCTTCTGGTGAAGGATTGGGAGCAGATGAGATTGGTCCAGATGACAGTGCCTCGCAGATTGGAGGTGCCATCCTTGGGACTATGTCGGTGCTTGGGGGTGTTGCTCCAAAGAAAGCACTACCACCACCACCTCCTCCCCCGCCTCAGGGGAGCCCTCGTTTGGCACGCTCTCGTCCTGGACTCCCACCTTCGAGTGTGAGACCAAGGTTGCCGCCTAAGTTCAGTCAAGATGAACCTCAAGGAGGACGGTTGACAGAAGAGGCTTTGAAGTCAAGGTCAGAGAGACCATCTACACCGCCAAAGAGATTATCTACACCGCCGAGGAGACCAACTACGCCTCCAAAGAAGGCAGCAGCTAAGCCAGTTACTCCACAGAAGAGGACCAGTGAGGAGGCTGAGATTCCTGAAGGACCAGCGGCACCTCGTGGTTCGGTTGGGAAGGCTGTGAGGCCAATCCCAAAGACACCATCGCCGAAACGAGCGGTTGAGGAGAGGGCATTGTGGCCTGCGGAAGAAAGAGCTCTCAAAGATGCTGCAGCCCGAGGTTCAGCACCTGCGAAAGCTGAAGCAGCAAAGGCGCCACCTACGACTGTGGACCTCGTGACCCCGGTGACAGACAATGCAGGACAAGGTGATGCCAATCTTGTTGCAGCACAAGGTTGTGGGAGATTGTCAGCACTGACAGTGCACCAGCAGACGCCGGTGAGCTCGCAAGCTCCGACACCTACATCTCCAGCAGGAGATTCCGCTGTGGCAGGAGAGGGACCTACACCGAGTGTGCATCAATGGGCACAGGCTCCGGTGATTTCGCCATTGCCACCGACACCACCGCCAGCACCAGTGGGAGGAGAGACAGAGGTTTGTGTGGCATGCCAAGGGAGTGGGCTGCTGAACTCGCAGGTGAATCTGCGATTGTTCCGACTCATCGGAACGGGTCAGCTTCGTTTGGGACAGACACCTCAAGCGGCGCCTACGACTCCAGCCCAAGCTGCACATCCAGCCCCTGCGGCTGCTGCGAATCCTGCAGGTCCTGGTAATGGGACCGAAGTCAGTCCAAGCCTCAGTGAGAACTCAGGTAGATCTCGTACTCCAACTCATTCAGGTGTTTGCAACGTGTCTGAAGATGGAAGTATGACCATGTTTGTTTCAGGTGGAAATCTTTTGATTTTGGAGTTAGCTTGTGGTGTTGACTCAGTGATTCAAAATGCTTCTAGGGAGTTTGGATGCAGTTACATTGGAATTCATGCCGGTTTGGAGCTTCCGTCAACTCAACGTCAGGCCTATAAGTTCTTCAAGAGCTTTGCTGAGGGATCTTCCGGTAGTGCGGATTCACAGAAACTGATTCAGGTACACATTTCTCTTCCCTGTACTGGGGGTAGCCCTTTGTTGGACTTATCCAAGAAAGACAGGAAACCTGCTCAGGATGCGTATTTCAGGCTTCTTGATCATTGCAAGAGATATGTTTCATATATCAAGGGCATGAGCAATGTGTGTAGTGCTGTGACTCTGGAGCTTCCGAAGTCGAACCGTTTTTGGTCAGACGAGAGATTGAAGAAGTTTCTGACTGACCACGACATGCAAAAGTTTGCGGATTGTGCTGCATGTGCCATGGGTTTGGAAACCAGTCAGGGACAGCCCATTGGTAAAGTCTTTCGCATTGCATGTTCGGATCAAGTACTTGCCACAGGTCTTGGAAAGAGATTTCAGTGTAAATGTACTCAGGACCACGCTCCATTGAATCAGGTCAACTATTCGATGACGGAAAGATACTCATATAAGTTTGCCAGATTCTATTGTCGTGCTATTGCACTTCGTTGGATTGATCAACAGGAAGAAACATCGTGATTTTGTTTGTCATTGACTGCAGTTTGCATCAGTTTGCATTTCATGTCAGCAGTTTGACTTCAGGAAAGTACAGTTTTCTTTTTCAGCTGAACCGTTCAGTGGAATTTGCATGTTTGCATGGTTCACAGCGGATTCAGGGACATTCGATTTCTCAGGTTTTGTCATCAGGAATCAGATGATGACACCAGTTTAGTTTCAGGAGCCTATCAACTCCGTTGAGAGAGTGCTCGCATCAGGACGCTCACACTCCAGTTGTTTTGTTCTGTTGTGTGTGTGTTTTCTTTTTCGTGTAGCCCGGGCCGGCCGCGCCGCGTTCGCCAGCCATGGATGAGCTTCTCATTGTGGTGCTATTTTCTGCATTGACTGGAGTGATGATTGGATCTTTGGGGACAGTTGTTATATTCTGGCTTTGTGGAGCACTGGAACGTAAGACAGTTATTGAGAAAGTTAGTCCAGAGTTGAGGGATGCGACAATTCAGGCTGAATATACTCAGGCTACATCGGATGAGACGTCAGACTTCAGACAAATGCACAGAGCTCAGACTTCGTCTTATCATCATTTGTACATTGGAACTGCGGAGAGGTGTTATCATCTTGATCGCCGTTGTCGTTGTTATCCAGATTGGGACAATGTGAAGAGAGGGCT